GATTGCTCAGACCTTTCCTCTGAACTGTACATGCTAGCTATAAATACATCCAGTGAAGACAAAATAATTTCATGCCTTTTAGAATTACAAAAAGAAGAATCAAAACGATAACTGACAGGCAAGAGACAGCCGGGACAGTTCCACCCCTGAGCAGTTTCCATTCTCTCAACAGTGGTTACTTATGACAGAAATCTTTAACATACGCTAATTCAACAAGGTGTTAGGTGCTATTATATGACATTTACAATTATAGAAGAAGCAACTAAGCAGGTGCAGATGATGGTCACATTTGTGATGATCATATACATGCAGTCCCCAGGTTACAAACGAATTCTGTTCCTGAGAAAATGAAAATTAGTCTTCGAGGCAAATGTGTAAGTTGTATCACATATAGTCTACCCTCCACATTCGTGGATGTTAAGAACGCATGACACCCAGTTAAGTGGAAAAACCACAATATTTCTCTCCCACCCCCATCACCTAAACTCACAAGTGCCTCCACTTTGCTGCATGGAAATACCAATGGGGCAAAAAGGCATGCTTTGGAGACCTCCCTCTCTCCCCTTTTGCTTCCTCTCTATGATGACACTTTGGAGACGTTCTCCCCCCCCCCCACCTTCCACTCCCTCTTTCTCTATGGTATGATGATTGTCCACAGTAATTTTTTTGAAATAATAGTCCATATAGTAGTTCATTCCTAAGTACAGGTTGTTCTTAACCCAGACCTTCACAACTCAGGAACTGCCTGTATACACTTTCCAAACATGTATTCAATCAAACTCCCATGGGATAAAATAACAAAGCCTTGTCATCTGCCACTCATCTATTTGTCTATGACAAGGTATAATTGTCCACTGGTAAGCACTTCAATGGTACGATTCCTCCAGCCTGTCAGGATCAAACCCACAGTGGGTGTCAAACTGGTATCCAGAAGAATGTCAGATATGCATGTAGTGAAAGCAGGAAACTGCAGAGACTAACTTCACAGTTGATGTCTCTACACCAAGAGCATGCCTCATATCCTTGTAAAAGTTCCCAGAACATACCGACTTGATCGTTTGAGTGACTGCACGACTCTGCTCTCATTTGGCTACTTTGTTTGTCCATCTCTCACTCAACCTGCATATGCTAAACAAATGCTGAGTCTGCACTGTGACATGGCCCTTATAAGAAAAATCTTTCTGCCTATGGAGAAATGCATGTACAGACTTCAGAGAGGTACCAATTATTTATTTACATCCTGCTTTTCCTTCCAAGAATTTAAGGCAGTGTGCATGACCTTCTCCCCAGTTTTTTCCATCAAAAACCCTGGGAAGTAGGTTTTGGTCCAAGGTCATCCTGTGAACTTCAGGAACTGAGTCTTCCCAGTTCAAGGCTTAGTTTCTTTCTGTTTGGACAAAATTTCTACTCTTTGCTGTTATATAATGATTCAGTGCAAAAGCTAAGATGCACATTATTTTCTCCTGTCTACGAACAGCATTCAAAGAGCTTTACTGTGTTTTGTTGCTGGCAGAGGACCAAAGAGAAGCTTAAAGTGTCTCCTGTGCTACCCAAAAAATCTGGCTTTCTATCAATCATAGGGAATGCACAGCTAAATATTCAAAACCAAAATTAAACCATTATATCATTTCACTTTATTCCAATTATCAATAGGACATGATGTCTGAGGCACATTTTTTTGCCCCTACCCAAACTGCATGAGTAGCAGATGTCCCAGCATCTTACTCTAGTTGCTCTCCTGATTTTTAGTTTTCTTTCCTGAATAATGCAATAATTACCTTATCTAGCAAAGCAGTAGTATGAATGCTAATGGTAGCATTACTTATTTTGACTTTGTACAGTTATCCACAGTTATTCCCCTCTGCAAGCATGCTGAGATGGAAAGTCAAATGCGTAGAAATAATTATATATCATTTGGAAAACTCATTTTTCTTAAACCGAAATATGCTATAGTTGTTCATTTTTAAAACGCTAGACTTCGTGGTTCAATGCTATTAAAAATGTTCAAAAAGTTGCTGAGTTCTAAGAAATAAAAACCACAGACAACCAAAATGCAGCTGCCTGGAGTCAGATATACTCGACCCAGTGATTCTGGAAACTTTGCTACAGGCAGGGCAAAAATAATATTTTAACTGAAAAATACATGAAATAGATATAATTGCTATATCTGTTATTGGACCTATTACTGGAGAACCAGTGTGGCATGGTAATTAGCCTGCTGGAATGGAGGAGATCTGGGTCCAGTCTCCACTCAACCATGAAGCTCACTGGGTGACTTTGGGCCGGGCACACTTTCAGCCTAAGCTACCTCACAAGGTTGTTGTTATAGCAATAATATGGAGAGGGGATCACCTTGTAAGCCACCCTCAGTTTCTTGCAAGCAGTAGACAGTCAGGATATAAATGTTATATAATAATAATACTTTTGGAGCGGATATGCAGTCTAAATTTAGGAAGGACAATCCATTAAATATGGACACACTGAGGAACACAAATATTTCCCCTACAATTTATTTCCAAGATTAAAAATATTCACAAATGGGAAGCAAATATTTTGAATGACTTTACTCAATACATTGTAAATGTTTCAGTATATTACAGAAATCCTTGATTCCAATGCGCAGTGCCAGCCATAGGAAGCATTTTTGCTTAAGCATCACAAAGATTCCATTTTTTTTCCAGCCAAGCAGACCACAATGGTTCTTCCTGTTCATCCCATGCTGCATCATGATGATTAACAGTTCTCAAGCACATTGCCATCATAAAAGTTTCCCTCTTCATTCCTGTCTCCCAAAGCCAGTCTCTTTCTCGCTGTTTACACACTCACTCAGGATACAGTATTCAACACCTGTTATTTCCAGCTCCATAGAACCACCCATCATTAACATTTTAATACAAATTGTCTCTCTACTGATACACAAATATACAAGTAGGCCTCCTGTGTATATCATAAAAGGGTTATAGAAGCTGAGTATATTATAAATGGGCTATACATTCTTTGCATACTCGTCCACAGGTTCAGTCACCACCCTTTATAGTGTTAAAAGGGTTAGGAGTTCCCAAAGAACTTGGGGAGTGTGTGTTGGCTTGAATCTTTCTAGGGGAGTTCTTTTTTTTAAAAAAAGAAAGTCTATTGAGGAAAAGAATGGAGAATACCAAGGAGATAGGTGGAACTTTAAGGCCTATGCCCATAACAGATACATTTAGAAATACACAAACAACATAAAAATGCAAACAATGCATCAAAAGTAACAAATATATAGAAGTTGGTTTTCCTATTTCATATTTTAGTCTTTGATCTTCAGCATAAAATACAGCCTCTGAGAATCTGGCATTCAGTTTTGTGAAGTGAAACAGGAGGTTTAGCATCTCAAAATGTGTACCTGAACTCACACCAAAACCTGCATTTCTCATGTAAACGTAAGTTACTTCTCTTGATTTGAATACGTATTACTCTATCCATGTGAATTCCATAAGTCTGGATTCATTAGATTAATCACAACTTAGGTATTGTTTTAAACATACTTTAGTGTAACAGCACACAGAGAAAATCTTGCCAAGCTATGCTTAATCAAGGATTGCTTACACTGTTATTGCTCATAAGACACTACTGCAATTCTAGTCCTCATGAGCACCAGTCTACATATACAATGAGGTTTCTTATCAGTACAGAATGTTACAGTTTTACTTCCAAGTAAACAAGGTTCAATTTGTACTGCATGTTTTTATGCTTGGATTAGATGAAATCAACAAGGACCAGTCTTTTTTTCTTTACAACTGAGGAAGTTTCAATAAAATAATTACATATGCTTAAAAGAGACATTCGAACAGGTAAGGGAATTCTTCAATGACCCTTTCCAGGAGAATACACAGTGCAATAACAGAATGTGTCATTTGAGGTGTGATCCAGAACACATTACAAGGCAGTAAGTTCTACTGAACCCACTAGGACTTGCAGAATTGTACTGTGAATAGAATTGTACTGTGTTTCCATGTGCATTTACTCAGGAACAAGTTTTCCTGAAATCAGGGAGACTTACTTCTGAGTAAATAAGCATGTATTTCTGCTTGAATTAGACGAAATTAACAAGGACATGTCTGCTTCTTCCACCATTGAAGAATGGTTTACAAGCTCTCAGCTTGTGGTTTCTGTCCCTTCAAGTATCTACAGTGAAGAATGGATGAAATTTATCAGATCTTTGAGAAGAGCCATCTCTATGTTAAGCTCTATTAAGTCACCATCCAGATAATATAATCAAGGAACTGCCACAAGTTAGCAATGAAAACAACCCAGCCCAGTGTAAAGGGCACCATGACATGTGTGCTAATCCAGTCCCTGCCAGAAAGTGAAGAAAATGAAATGAAATTGGGTCTCAGGTTTTGCACTGCTTTCTCCATAGGACTTGGAACTGAACAGGTGTAATCACACTTGAAACTAACTGCCCAGCTAAGCATCGATATTTTTAGAGATTGTAGGTGCTCCAATACGCCCTTTCTTCAGGAATAAAGAATGAAAAGAGAATGATTCATTCATCATCACGCTTGAGCTGGGAGTAGATTTGCCAAGGATTCAGGTTTTAACCCTGACATCTTGCCTTTATGTATCAAATATTGCTACCCCAATGAGTGAAAAACCCGTCATCAAAGGAGGAAAAGGGTTTAGCACACTGAACTTTTTCACATTCGCTCCACTACCAACCTCAGTTGCCCAAGAAGAACATGCATCCAACCTGTTCTTTCACCTACCTGCCCATTCCTTTTGCATGCAAAATGCAATAAAATAAAAGCATCTGCATGCAAATTCAGGTGTGGGCGTGGGTGTACTTGATTCTGAGAGAAAAGATAACTTAATCAGGAAGAGGTAATATTACGTTCCTCCTAAGGGGAAATTGCTACAAATAAACGGTATTTGGACGATCTGGAATCAGGAGAGGAAATCAGGAGACATGCAAAATCCTGTCAGGAGGAGAGGGAAGGGGGAGGGATTTTATTTAAACTTACCAGAGGAAACCGAGGAGCCAGACAAACTGGAGTTGCTGGATGTGGCCATTCTCCTTCCTCCAGCGGGCTCCTCAGTGACTAGCCCAGGTGCTCCTGCTGCTGTCCGGCTGCCGTTGCCGCCCCCACCCCATGGCAAAGTGCTGAAGCCGCGCTGAGCAAAGCAGCAACAGCAGCACAAGCCGCCGCCGCCGCCGCCGCCCGGGCTTTGCTCGCTGCTCAGCCGAATAATGCGCCGCTGCTGGTTTGTCTCTGCCCGTTTCAGCCTTCGCAACGAGGAGCCGCTCTGGCTGCCCGCAGAAGGGCCCCGCGCTGCGTCCAGTTCCTTTCTCTGCGCCCGAGGAAGAGAGGCTTCGCGGTGCCCAGCGCCGCCCGACCAGCTCCTTCCCTCCTCGCCTTTTCCCCTCCCTTCGCCTGAGCGGCTCAGCCTTGACAAACGAGGCAGCGAGCGGCTCCACCTCCTTCGCCGCCGCCGCCGCCGCCGCCGCCTCAGCTCCCTTCACACACACAAAGGAAGCGGAGGAGCGGAGGGCAGGCTGCAGCCCGCGCGGCTAGTGAGGCGGAGGAGCGCGGCTAAAGCGCGGAGCGCGGCGCGGGCAGAGAAGGGGGCGCGCAGAAGCGAGCGGCCCGAGTCTTCCGCCCCACCGGCTGCTGCTCCCTCGCTTGCTGGCATCGGCGGGGCTGGCACGGCCGGCGCGGCTCCCTCCATGTGCCAGCACTGGTCCAGCATTGGAAAGCAGAGGCAGGTCGCACCGCCTCCGGGGGGGGGGGGGGGGGGGAGAAGCCTGGGAAGGCGTTTCCCCGCGGCAGCCGTAGGGTGCTGGTCCCTCCTGAACTTTTAGGCTGTGCGGCTGGAGATGCGCTCACCCCTGTAAGGAATGGCGCTGCGCTTGTCCCCGACTTCCTATTCACTAATGCCAGGCTTTCTTGGCGTTTCCCTCCTGTGCACTCCCATAACGCTCAGCAGCAATACTTTTTAACAAGCATCATGCCAGTTAATGTTATCCCTTGATAGATGTGAACTACGTGACCAGAGATCACCTGAAGCAATTGTTTGTGGGCTGGAACCCAGGGTGGATTACAGAATCCACCTTATCTCCCTTTTATCCCCCAACAACCTTGTGAAACAGATTAGGCTGAGAGATTAGACTGGCCTAAAGTAATCCAGTGAGCTTCATGTCCTGCTTCAGTCCCTGGTCCAACACTAACCATTACCTCTCTTCTTTGACTGTTCTGTCTCCTTGGAGGTCAGCAGCAGGGCGGACTCAAGAGCTTGGCTTCCTGACACAAAGCATGCTATGAATAATTCCTGACAGCAGCAGAGTTGATCAGAGCAGCCACCCACCTTGACACCTTTCTTTGCATCTTACCTTTTAAAACACTTTTCCTGTGATATTAAACCCTGTTGGGTTAAAAAGGGCCCTTTTGAAATAAGTTATTTAGTGTTCTGGGGTTTAGGTTCCTACTCTGCTGTATACTAGATATTTGTGGAAAGTTACATGTCTTTTACCATAGCAGCCAGTTTCTGTGGTGCTCAGGGAGTTTCTCAAATTGTCTAATGTGTCCACTGTCTCAAAATATTGTCTACTCCTGGACTAAAGAGTGCAGAGCAGGGTAACTTGGGCGATTCTCGGAGTGGTGGAAGGTGGCTGCTGCCCTGGCAAATGCCTCCTGAAATAGTCACTGCAGTTTACCACGTTTCCCAGTCAGATGTGTAATGTAGCTGCTGAAGATCAAATGCCCTGAATGCAATGTACCAAGCATGGCGTGTTTCTAGACTAGGCTTTCATTGAGCCATTGAACTGCCTCACTGGTGGAATTTTATGGGAAGTCCACACAATAATGTCTTCCATGTGTAACCCGCTTTGATTTTCCCAGCATTTGTCCTCACTTTATAGTGAACAAACTATTATGGAAGAAAAGATGAAATCATTGCACAATGCTCTCTGACTGGTCGTGCTGGGAGCCGTCCATCTGGAAACACCCAACATAGCTTGCTCTTGTGTTGTCTGTGCCTTTTATTGCAGCATAGCCACCAAAGGAACAAGTAGCATACCAGTTTTCATATTCTGATTAGTATTAATGTTTCTGAAAACCATCTTTGCAAGTAACCATATAAATATATACAGATCTGTGGTAGCTAAATGTTAGATGTTGAGTGTTTTCTTGAAGTCATTTGCACAGGAACTTCCCAAAAGTCCTGTTTAAAAGTCATACAGATGTCATTTTCAGTAAGGTTCCACCTTATTAATTTCTGCATTTCTTACTCCTAACGTCACAGAAGCTCTGCTCTCTAACTATAATCTGGAAAGTAGGTACAAAATGGAAGGAAATAATCTCACATGAGCTCTGTAGATTGGGCTATATACTACTTCCGTAACCAGGCATTTTATTGAGCTATTTCAATTACCAGGGTTCCATCCTGGAAAAAAAAACATAAGATAGGCATAATCTTCTTTGAAGTTTGGCTGACAACCATTAGAGCTAGAGCAATAGAATAATTATTTTCAAAGACTGAATCAACAGTTTGCAGGTGTCAAGCCTTGTAAGATTTTTTTCTGTAAGAATCTTGTATCAGTTTTCAGTTAACAGGGTAGGGTATCTTTTTCCTCTGTAAAAATAGTTAGAAATGCTTATTGAGTAGAAGCAAAATTCTCTTTCCTTTTTGCCTATCCTTAAAGTGTGCCGCCATGCAGCTGGGTTCAAGAGGCTAGCCTTCCGAACAAGGCAGAGACCTGGCTTCAGCAGAACATAAGAACACGCTTATGTTAAATCAGACCAAAGTCCTATCCATTCCAACCACCTGTTCCCACAGTGGCCAAGCGGCTGTCTCCATGGGAAGCCCACAAGCAGGACATCAATGACACAACAGCCCTCCAATTCTGTTCCCAAGCAACCAATATTACCAGACATGCAAAATAGGCTGATTGGCAGTTCTCTGTACTTCGCATGTCAATTCTAGTATGTCTTAGTTTTAATATACTGTTAACACCACAAAACTCACTTCAGGAATCCCTCTAGTGGCAGTTCTACAGGTCATGCAGTAGTTGCTTGCAATGTTCAAAGCACCACTCGTTTCTAGATCCTTGCCCTTCCCCACTTATTCAGCAGCCCTCAGGGAGACTGGCTAAATGGGAAAAGGTATGAATGCTGTTTTATGGGTTTAAAAGGCTTCCCTGAATCTCGCTGTATTGGAAAATTTCCAGTATTCCATTCTTGGGCGATTTTCTGGAGCTTTTTTTATTCTTAGTGATAAGGATTTCTGATGAGGCAGATCCGTTTCAGTTTAGCTAGGTTATACAGAAACTGCCTTGGCCACCATAATGGACGATCTGTGCCAGAAATGAAACAGGAGCATTATGTGTCAGGATGTAAGGCAGCATGGTTCAAGTGCCTGTAGGACCAGGATCAGACCTGTAGGTACTTGCAGGTACTGAAGCCTGTACAATCATGCAACATAGCTGGAAAGCTCCCTGAAAGGCTTCCCTGTGCTGTTCAGTTTGGCTGCAGCAATAAGCCTTTTGTAATAGCTGCTCTGTGGACCTGATCCTACTGCCAGTCTTGCCTTGACTCCTGCTTGCTTCTGACTCTGCTCTTGCCCTTGATAGGACTCTGCCTTGACAGGTGCCAGGTGCCTGCCTTTGCCTCTGGTCCTGCTATGCCTTGCCAGGTATCTGACCCTTGCTTCTTGCTGGCTTCACCTTTCCCTCAGTGTGTCCTGCACTGATGCCAAGAGCTCATTCTGCCCCTATCAGCCCTTGTTCTGGAGACATTGGCTGATATGGTCCTGGGAAGCACTGTTAAACAGTAGCGTTAGTTCCCTTGGAGAGGCAATTTCAGGGGTAGTGCTGTGGGATTCCTATTCAGTGCTGTGGCCTTTGGCCTATGGTGTCCTTAAGAATTTCATCTTGTATCTCATGCTATTTAATATATACATGAAACTTCTACGATAATTTATCTTTAGCTTTTGAGTTGAGTATCACCAATAGGCTGATAGCACCCGCTTCTAACTTTCCATCTAAATCCAAGGAAATTGTTCTAGTTATATACTGATGTCTAGATGAAAGCTAACAAATTGAAACATAGTTGAGATAAGGCAGAAATTATTCTGGTTAGACAAAAGGCAGATCAGGGAATAGTGATTCAACCTGTTCTGGATAGGGTTACACTCCCCCTGAAGGTTCAGGCTTGCACACCCTTGATGCCCATGTTTCAGCAATGATCAGAAATGCATTTGTACAACTGAGGCTAGAACACAAATTCTGCCTGTTGCCCTGTGTTTCAGGTATTTATAGAAACTGTGAGACAATTGGATCCTGCAGTCCCCCCTCTTTAGACCTCTCTTGGTGTCACAGAGGCAAGGACTATTAACATTTCCCTGTGGTTGGGAGCTACCATCAGAGAGATCAAATATCCCACTGCAAGAATGAACTTCTCTCTCCCCTCAAAACTGAACAATCCTATGGTCCTCCCACAGGTTAGGATCCTAAATCTAAATGGGTTTCTCAAATTAATAATAAGGGAAATCCACTTGTATAAAAGTTGTCAGGACACATTTGATTAGTGATACAGTTTTGAAGCCTGTGAAATGTTAGATTTTGTTATACTATAATTCTAGCTTAGTGATATTTCTGCTAATACCATCTAAAATAACGAGTACAGTTCTAGGACATGCATATGTTGGTTTACGTTATTTAGACAACAGGAATATCATCTGTATTCTATGAAAAATATTAAATACCATGAAATTGATAGATCAAAGGCACTGCAAACTTAAAAGAAACAAAAAGTACTCTCTGCTTAAAAATGCAAAAATAATCCCTGTTGCACAGTGTAATCAACAGTCACGTCTGTTAACACTTTGCTGAACAAGCAGCTGCGGATAATTTCCTAAATGACATTTTGCTAGTCACATTTTGAAAATGTCTGTAAGGTTTTTCCACACGATCAGTCAATGTTTGCCGCTACATTTTACTAGTTCCTTTAAATGTCAGTAGCATAATATCTGGACACAATATATAGGGTAGTATAGTCCATACCATCTATCCCTTTTATTTTTACATCTTTAAAAAGAGATGTACAGAATATTTAGAGAATGTGGATACCAAATATTTAAACAAAGCTGAAATTGCCCATAATGCGATATGTAATTTCGAATGCTTCTAAGGTGGTGACTTATGTATTATCCAATAATGTGATGGTCTACATCAAAAATTGTGCCACAAAACAGGACATTGCACCTAAATTGCAGCAATATTGTGCCAGCATTATATTGTGATTCTAGCAATGCTAA